GGGGGGGGGGGGAGGCTTTCTGGAGAAGGAGGGAAGGGGCTGCTTACATTTGATGATGAAGCTGAACACCCTATTTGGCACTACTGAGGTCATCTGACTGTGTCTGTGTTTTTGGGTATACCAGGCGAGACAAAATTAGAAACTCAGTAGTCAGAGAAATGGTGGGCACAAAATATGATGTCATGCATCACATCCAACACCAAAGAATCCAATGGTTCGGACATCTCATGCGCTTACAAACACACCATCCTGCACAACGTGCCTATATCAAAATATTCAATGGCAACAAGGCTAGAGGGCGACCGAGAAAGACCTGGATAGATGGAGTCAGGGAAACACTAACATGGCAACCCCCTGATCGAAGCTCTCCTGCTGGTGGCAGAGAGGCGTCTCTTTCTTCCCGCGACACCAAAAAGGGTATAAGCGGTGGATAAAAGTAAAGATCTATTTTTATGAGGGAGGGGGAGGGGGTGGCTGACCTGTTTGTTTTTCTTGTTTGTTTTTTGGTTATTTTTGTTTTGTTTTGTTTTTTAAAGATAATTTGTCTTATTTTCGGCAAAGGGCTCTGGAACATTTACTTCTCTACAGACAGACTGAGAGGAAAACCATGTCATGAACGATGAAAACAATTCCCAACCCACATGGATCCGAATCCAAACACTTTATTGTTGGCAAAGCTAGCCAACCGCTGCGCTTCACAGATTAAACAATTTTGTTGAGTAAAGAGGAGATTCTTTTTTCTAGACCTTAAAAATATTTGGACGACGGACAAAGGAGTTAGAAGGGAAAGTGGGAAGGGGAGGAGCATTTGGAGTCCTCAAAATACCACCAAAACCACCCTCTCAAAGGAAGGGAAAGGCAAATCTTCAGGCGCAAATTCTAGACGATCGCACATCAGGAGATCATCAGAGAAAGAGGGGAAGGCATCTCCTCTTCAAGCAAGTGTTTTGGACGGCATCTTAAGGCACTTGAGGGCCTCATATGGGAGAGTGGGAGGATGGGGGCATGTTACACATTTCACTGCTGTTTTATCAGCTAGGCCGTTTAGTCGAGCACCAAATTCGACCGCAACAGCAGTCTTTAAAGCGTACGAAGTTTTCCTTCGTAAAGGGTATTATTCAGGGCTTGATGTAAGATTCTGCGTGAGCTATATAGATCGGCTGAACGCATTTTTTATGTCTTATTTGGGTAGGGTTCAAATTTCGAGAAAATGAAATGTCGGTTAAAACACTGAACTCATGGTGGGGAGATTGTAGTTTTCATTTAAAATCACCCGGTATAATGGTTTTAATTTGGCTTCCACCACTGAAAAGAGTTGTGGGGTTGTTTTTTTACACTTTCTTCCGTGAGATATTGCTTTCAGACTCCAGCCCAAACATATTGATAGGAGACTTGTTATGCAAGGAACGTCATGCCATCAAAAACAAGACAAGAAAAAACAGAAAAAGCAAACAAACAAGAGAACCGAAGAGCAACCAGTAGCGAAACATATGGGTGTAACGTAAAGAGTTTTGGCAAGGGTGGAACAAGTCAAGGACACAAGGGTTATTCTCCTTGAGCCTGAAACATAGGCGGGTTGTCAATGACAGAGAGGGAAATTTTTGTTTATCTTAGACAAACGTGCATCTATCTATCTATCTATCTATCTATTCACCATCGATT